AAAAAATAATACAATTTTATAATAAATCTTTGAAAATCAAAATATGGATTTGAATTTTTAATGTTATTATAACCTAAAGATGCTATGTGAAAGTTTGAAACAGAAAATAGTGGTTTTCATCTTGCCACTTTCTTGGTAAAGAAAACACATTTTTACTCAAATCAATCCAAATGGATTTATAGTGTTTTGGACCCAAACTCTTCATATTTTCTCTTGTTGCAATACATTGTGTATGCGACACAATTTTGTAGATTATGTAGTGGACTTGCCTACATCAGTTTGCTTCAACAACATTCCTTTGCTGTATTTTTTCCATTATCATAGTTTTTCAGTGTTGATTTTCCTCCCACAGGACTGTCATGAGGTTTGGATTGGAGACATGAACACGACTATTCCATAGCCATTCACCGTCTGCTTGCTTCTGGAAAATGATTCCTCTAAAAAATGTATCTCAATCAGATATCAGGGCCTATGTGAAAAATAAAAGTAGAAATGCTGTGTAACATATGTGATGCATAGTATTTATATATCTGGTGTAGATAACTGCAACTTTCTGATTTTTTTTTTTCTGCTCGAGTTACTGTAGAAGAGATCACAGTGTGTATTTCTCTGCAGGAGAATTTGTGATATTATTAAAAATGTTTAATTCAAATGATGTGAATAAAAGGATCAGAAACATTCAAGTGCTGTCATTTTTACCCAGTGTCTATTCAAATATAGCATAGCCTTATTTAAATATAGTCATTTATGCATTTAGCAGACTCTACAGTCATCTCAACCTCTGTAATAAGTTTAGTAGATGTTAAATCATCTCCCATATATGATAGTAGGCTACATTTAAATAAAAGAATCAGTTGTGAATAAATTATTGTTTTTGTAAGAGTAATTAATCGATACAGAAATGTAAGTGTGAACTGGTTTCCTTCTTATTAGAGTGCATAACCGTAAGTGGTAATACGATATGGGACTGTCCTGTCTTTAATACGGCTTTTTATTTTTGGAGCTTGACATTCAGTTGGCCTTTGGGCGCTGTGTTGTTGAAGGCAGCAGAGCCGTCATATCTCGCGGTACATGATCGTAGGAAGGCTGGGATATGGACTGACCGCTGCCTGCACAAATCGACGGAGAGCAACGCTGTTTGTTCAACAGGAGGACTAATAGCGAGGTATGTCGAATTTAGTCGCTGTGGATTCGTGATAGTAATCCGCTCGTGTGAGCAGATGTCCGTTATGCATTTCGCCGCCGTCGTCCATGATGCTGCAGCCCAGGTTGATGCGGAGCTGCTATAAACAACGCGAGTACATAACCAGAGTACATATCCGGGTATTTTGCCAACGCAGAACGCTACAAATAAAAACAGTAACATAAAACATGCTCATGTTTTCTGAGCCGTACTAAATGAAGCCGGATAATAGGATCACTGTACGCTATGTAGCTATAACATGGTGTTTACATGATACTCTAAAGGATACCATGGCATATGTCAGAAATGGTATTGCATGGTATTATTACCGTGGTGTAGAAAAACATCATTGTATTTCTACGGAAAACAAAATCATACAGTTACCTACATTGTTTATGGACATGTGCCATGGCAGTATCATGTAAATACCAAGGTACTTGAATGTGGTAATTATTTAGTACCCTTGTATATTTAAAAGCACCCTGGTAATTCTATCTGATACCTCTATGAAAAGGCTTGAATTGTTGTTTTATTATTATTATTATATTGATAAAGCTTTATTATTTTCAGTGTTTTGTGTTGTTGTTGTTGTTATTATTTGTATTATTAATTAATTGTTATGGTTGTATTATTTGATTATATTATAACTAGTGCTGTCAAACGATTAATCGCGATTAATCGCCTCCAAAATAAGAGTTTTTGTTTACATAATATGTCTGTGTTCTGTGTATATTTATTTTGTATATATAAATACACACACATGCATGTATATATTCAAGAAAAATATGTTATATTTGTATAGTAAATATATAATATAGATTATATAAATATACACATTTAAATACATGTAAATATTTTCAAAATATATACTGTATGATTGGGTATTTATATATACATAATAAATATACACAGTACACACACATATATTATGTAAACAAAAACTTTTATTTTGGAGGCGATTAATCGCGATTAATCGTTTGACAGCACTAGTTATAACCAATATGTTATTAGATGTTGTGATTATTTTGGTTATTTTATAATGAACTTCTAAACATTTATTCTGAGTGTAACAAATGTAAACATGTATGTCTGAACTAGCTGATGTCCTGTAGGTTTGCAGTAACCCAGTTTTCTTCCAGGTGAGTCTATAATAATGGCAAAAGAAGATGAAATTCCTGACTGGGCCGGAGCACAGGACTTCTATGAGAAGTATGATCCAAAGGAGATCCTTGGAAGGTATTGTCATATTGTGCACTATTGTTTTAGTGAAGACCAAAAAATGTTCAGGTCATATTTCACCCCAATTTCTGTAATATTTAATTACATTTATTTTTCATAGTGATTACTTGTTCATTTGTTTTTGTTTTTTCTTTATAATAATCTCAGCAATTTTCAGTAATTTAGTAAACACAAAATACAACTAGAAGTGAATGAAATTTGTGGCACACAAATTTTTGGGCATATTTTTTTAAACTGCATATCGGTTGAAAGTTTTGTCTAATTACTGAAACTAATCAGGTTTGCTTGCCAAGGGACCAAACCATGTGGACCGGTTTTGGTCGACTTCAGTTGAGTTTAACCAAACTGTGTAGCCTGTACCTTTTTTATCTCCAAAAAATCAGTTGTGAAAAAAATGACAATTGTTCTTTTCAATTGACATTATATCTAAATAATTTTTGTAAAATGCATATTTATGAGTGATCTAAATGTATAATTTAAATGTAGAATTTAGAATGCCGTAAACATTGTGACTTATAGATGAATTATCGTAGGGCTCGACAAAGAGAAATATAAATTTGACTCTAGGGCTCATGGTTCCAGAGTTATAAACTAAATGCAAATGTACTTATAATTGCAAATGTTGAATAATAGGCTAGTAATGACATAAAAGTTACTTAACAGGAAGGTGTTAGTGCGCAAGTTTTATTTTCCCTAAAACACATTATACATTTAGGATTCATAACTGATTCTGTGTGTATTATATGCTGTACAATGAGTTAATTGGACAACGTTATACACTGTTTTCTTCAGAAGACAAATAATATGATATGAAATGATTTACTTTGATTTCAAGTGTTTTGGTTATTGAGAGTAGTAGTTCTGTAATTGATGGGGATTGTGTTGCAGAGGGGTGAGCAGTGTGGTTCGCCGCTGCATCCATAAGCGCAACACTCAGGAATATGCAGTCAAGATCATAGACATCACGCCGTCAGATAAGATGAGCCCCGAGGAGATCGAGGAGATCAGAAATGCCACAATAAAAGAGATAGACATCCTCAAGAAAGTGTGTGGACAAGAAAATATCAGTAAGTATCCACACAGTAGCAGCTTTAAATTGTGAAACGTAACGGTATCTTGTTGAGAAAGTAATATATTTTTATTTCTTGAGAGTGTCTCGAATGATTGGAACACGTTGTTTCTTGCCTCTCCAGTTCAACTGAAGGATTCCTTTGAAACGAAAGCTTTCTTCTTCTTAGTGTTTGACTTGTAAGTAGAGTTCATTGATACCATATTCCAGCATACAGTATAAACTCAGCAAAAAAAAAACTTTCTCTCTCATATTCGCTGCTTTTATTTCCAGCAAATTTCGTAACGTGTAAAGTGACGTGACATGTGGCCAAGTATGGTGACCCATACTAGGAATTAGTGCTCTGCATTTAACCCATCC